GTCATTTTTGAGAATCTTTTATTTTTGAAGACCTTCTCAGGATCTTATTAGTATAGTATTTAATTTTAATCAACAGTTAGTATCCCAAGAAAGTATATATGATCTGAAATTTAACCATAGAAAAGGAAATAACTTGGCATTTTAATGAAAATTTAAGTATTTTATAAAAATAGAGTTTTATTTTGCTAAGATTTTTTTAGGAATTCATTAGTTTTAATCATACCAACTGGTTTATTCCTAACCATAATCCCAACTAATCCACCCATATCACAAACCTTAACCTTAGCCTTATTCCAAGTTTTCTTTCCCAATCCTAAAACACACAGTGTTGAGATCTGTACCTCACTGTCCATGAGCACTGGCTTTATTCCTAAAAAGGTCACATGGTCAGTCCTGGGACAATCTCTACGTCTGGTTGTAAGGACTTGGACGAGATGCAGAGGCCACCAGTCTCTGTGGACAAAGAAGGTAAAAACAGGATGTGTTTTAGTCTTCAGCAGATATTTGCTGTGTTTAAGACCCTTTTCTGTCCATCTTCATTATCAATGTCCAACAAAAAAGACATCTCATGTGCTGGGCCAAGACAACAAGTTCTAAGACAGAATGGTGTTTTATGTTGAACTAAAACACGTGATAGACCTGTTTTGATTTATTTGATCAAGTTTTTTACCCCTTCAAAACTGATTTTGAAGACACTAGTCAGTGTCGTTGCTGTTAATTAGTTGTTCAGTGATGATTCCAGCCTTGGTGAAAGCTCGGACGACATTTCAGACTGATACCTCGCAAAGTAGCAGGTTGTGACCTGATGCAAAAAGTGCAGAGTCTCTATAAATAAAGTTTTTAGGTCCAATCTGTCTCAGAACTTTGACTTTCCCCTTTGAATACTATGTGTCTTCCACCTAACACAAAGCTCAGACATACAAAAAAATCTCAAAAGCACAGTGACAAAACCAGGAGGACCTTTAAAGACACTGTTAGGTATTTGCCACCACACATCCACCACAGGACATCACACAGATTTGAATAAAATGTCACCAAAAACTCTCCCAGAAAACATTTGGTGCAGGACAACGACCTGAAGAGAGTCATCAGAGAGGGACACACTTTTTGACTGCCGTTCTGAGAGTGAAAAACTAAGTATTGCCTCTTGTAGTTTTAAGATCAAAAGATAGGAATGTGTACATATGTACTTTATAAAACCTCACAATATTATTATTTGCCCTTTAGACAACATTGGCCTGAGATAAACTAAGATTAACAGTGGCCAGTCTTAATGAAACCAACGTGAGCGTTTGACACAGAGATATTTAACTACATGGAATTACATTATTATCACTACAGACTGGGAGACACGTGTGTCAGCTGAGTGACAGTGAGTGTCAGTATTCAAAGTTTCACCTCAGTTTCACACAACAAAGAGGCAGGTGACCGAAACCGTTCTGATGGGGACCACAACGACCCGGCAGACTCTTAACGACTGTTTACACTTTCACAG